CCACGAACGAACATATACCTATAAATAATAATATAATAATAATAATATTTATTTACCCAAGCGATTCAAATAACATGGTATTTACAACAACAGGATAAGTAAATAAACTAGATACACCCACAAAGCAAGTAGTGCTGTGCGTGGGGAACCTATAAATTGATAGATTGAATAAAGTACTCAAATCATAATGATATCCATTTATTTAAAAGTATAACTCGTGCAACTCACAAACATAGCATTTATAATATTAATAATAATAATAATAATAGGGGCTTTATTTTTAATATCCTCGGCGAAGTCCAGCAAAGCTGTTCTACTTAACCGAGTACCATATTACATTAGAATTAAATAATTAAATAACAACCTACATAGTAGCTTGAATATAAAACAATCTTGTCTACTAAATATAAGTATAAAATTATTATCTATTTTAAAATACGGTCTATTAGCGAAAGAGAAATAATTTTGTTGAATTTTTGAAGTGAAACATTGATTTATTCTTGAGCTCTTGTGGGAGAGAATTGTATATTTCAACTGCATTATAGGAGAAGCATCCCTGATATGAAGCTGTTCTATGCATAGGCATCACAAGAAGACCTGTATTTCGAGTGGAACGATTATGAATTTCCGAAGTGAATGTTGATCGATGATGAATGTAAATAGGTTTTTTTTTCTTTCAATACTCTGTGAACCATGCAGGCAATATGCAATTTACGCCTATTGAACATATTCAGCCATCCCAATTATCCAAGTTTATGAGAAATGTGATCTCTGGTTCTTAGTGAGTAAATAAATTTGATACAGGAATTCTGAATCCTTTGAATTCTCGCTGATGAAACTGCATCCAAGCCATATACTAAATCAGCATAATTAGTATAACTCAATACTAGTGATTCACATAGTTGCTTTCCCAAGGGTACATTAATGAAAGACCTACTGCGATATAGATTCTTCAATGGAGAGTAACACTTACTAACAATAGATTTAACCTGTGCCTTGAATCTCAACTTACAATCGATAAGAATTCCTTGACTCTTCACTACATCACAGGGCTCTACTCTAACAGTAGCAATTTCAATTTTTAAATCAGATTTCACCTCTACTGATACATTACCAAAACATATAGCTTGGGTCTTCTTTGGGTTAATCTTCAGCCCATGCTTATTAGAGTATGCAACTATGTTCTCCAAAGTTTGATTTATATCTGAACATGCAGTATTCAACTCATCTGCAAGGAAACATTCATAAACTCGGGTGTCGTCAGCAAACTGATTAATTGTACAATTCACAGAATTCCTATTGAGGTCCATAGTATGAATTGAAAATTGCAGAGGTCCGAGTATTGAGCCCTGCGGTACACCTTCGTCAACTAATCTAGAGCTGGACTGCACATTGTCAATTAACACATATTGGCTCCTATGAGAAAGATAGCTCCGTAATAGTTTGACTACCCTATTAGAAAAGCCATAATAGTTAATTTTAGCCAGAAGGAGTTCTCTGCCTGAAGTGTCAAACGCCTTACTATAGTCTTATAGAACTAGTGTTGTAATTTTCCCCTCATCTATTGCTCGTATGATATCATCTAACATTTTGGTAAATGCAGTAACTGTACTGTGACCACTCCTAAAACCAGATTGATTTTCAGGAAATAACTTATTGTTTGATAAAAATTGTACCATTTGCAAATATATCAATTTTTCCAAAACCTTGGAAAATACAGATAGCTTACTTATCGGCATCAAATCAGAAATATGTTTCGGGCTATTCACTTTTGGCAATGGAACTATACAAGCAACTCTCCAATTCAGTGGGAAATAGCTAGCTGTCAAACAACAATTAAAAATATGTGTTAAATACGGCAATATGCTTGGTAAACATAGTTTCAACATATCTAGAGTTATTCCATCTGAGCCTGTTGAGTTCGACTTGATCTTAGTTATTGCAATCATTACATCATTCTCCGAGACGACTTGCAATTCGCTTTCGATTGCACCTAGAAATTTTTCATTATTATCAACCAAAGCAGGATCAACTTGACATTGCAAATTCGTAACAGAATCAATAAAATAATCATTTATTTGATCAGGGTCAAGTAGATGTTCTGGAATAGCATCGGTATTTTTATTGGTATATACATTCAAACGTTTCAAAGCACTCCATAAGTTCCTACTGTTTTCGTTCCAGCTTATCTGATCTAAAAATATTCGTTTTTCATTTCTCATTGTCATTGTACAGAGGTTTCTAGATTGCTTGTATGCTTTCCAATCCTCAGGATCCCTTGTTCTTTTGAATTTACTCAGTAACTTGTTCCTGTCAGTCTTCATTATTCGAAATCTATCAGTTATCCAGGGTGCGTTAGGCTTAGTGATCCTTTTTCTTTTGTACGGAGCATGCTTGTCAAATAGATTTTTGATTTGGTTCATTAGAATATCAACTTTATTATCAATATTATCTGTATAAAATATTTGTTGACAGTTGAAAGATGTTAGATCATTATTAAAACTATCTATGTTAAAATTACAATAATCTCTATAATATTTGAATTCATCTTTTTCCTTAGTAACTCTAGTTTTCAGTTCACAAAATATAAGTTGATGATCAGTTATAGAATGCAGGTCTACATGTTGAATATCATTCATCACCAAGTGTTTATTACTAATACAAATAATATCAAGTAATGAGGAAGCAACATTTGTCAATCGCGTAGGTTGCTTCACTAGTTGCTATAAGTTGAAAGATTCTGATAAATCAATAAGCTGCTGAGTTGTACTATTAGGTCTGAGCAGATTAACATTCAAGTCACCCATAAGTATTATTTTATCAGATCTAGGGAGCATACAAGCAATTGCATTCTCTAAGGTACTAAGAGCCTCTCTTACATTATGACCAGGTGGACGATAGATATACCACAAGCATATCTTATATTTGAAAATTTCAAAGTCAACCAAATTTGCTCCAACTCTTTTGTTATGAAAGAACATTCTTCTACTACACTTGCCTTGATTATGTTAGATCTGATAAGTATACCCACACCACCTCCTTTTCTATCCTGTCTGTCAACTCTAAAAAAATCATAGTTTTTTATATTAATTTGATCCTTCATCGTTTTGTCGTTCAACCAGGTTTCTGTGATGCCTAAAATATCTAAATTATGTTTATATAATGAAGATACGATATCATTTTCAGCCGGAATAAAGAAACGAACCAATTTTAAGGTGTTTCAAGTTTTGCTTATCTGAGTTCATTGTATTCGCCATAATGGTAGATATCATACATACAAAATAAAATCAACAAAAAGTAATTAATTTAGGAGTTTATGATAGAATCGACTTGTAGAGAATTATTTATTCTTATAAAGCTTTCTCCTTCATCTTTTCTAGCATAAACAGTCCCATTTTTACACCATACAAATTTGAAATTATGACTTTTGAGACTTTTAGCTTTATTTAATAATAGTCCAACACTCCTTGGCAGATCTTCGTTTATGTAGATACGTTTGTCCTCTCCAGAAATTCCACAGTGGAGAGTATTCATTTCCTTGTTTTTCATCACTTCTAGTGATTTATCTCTGCTCGTTTTGTCCTTCAGCTTCACTAAGACTGGTTTTCTAGTTTCCTTACTACGTAGTGTCTATAGATTGTAATCAATCTCATCAATCCTAGCATCCAGTTTTTGTAATATTTTCTTGATGTCATCTTTGGCTGTGTTTCCACCCATGAGGCCAAAAACATCAACATTTTTGTTTTTCTGTTCCACTTCCTCCTTCTCAGCCAAATAGTTGAGGTTATTCAGCTTTACTTCAAGATCCTCCAGCCTGCTTTTGAAAACTTTTTGCTCTGTCCTTAATACTGCATTTTCTTTAGTTAAGGCTTTTATAGATGCCTGCAGCTCATCCATTAATTCTGCATTGAATTTCACAGATTCTTCCAAATCAGAGAATTTTTTTGTCATGAATTGCATGAGTTCTCTTTCAGAAGGATCTGCATTCTTCTCAATAGTCCCACTTCCTCTGATTTTCCTAGCACTGGAATTTCTCTTCTTATTTCCATTATTATTTATTAATTTTCCACTTATTTCTTCCAAATTACTTTCAACATGACTATCTTCATTTTCAGATGAAGATGAAGATTCTTCGCAGCTGTTATAGATCCACTTTTTATTTGATTTTTTATCACAAAAAATATCATAATCTTCGTTGTTGAGTTTTGTGCACTTTTAGGAATTTATGGAAGGTTCAATGTTGAATCAGACCTAGAGAGCAAATCAGAAATGCAGTCAATAGCATGGTTCATGGTATTCACAGAAGGTGTTATTGAATATTATTATTATTCACAGATCCAGTGGAGAAGACAACAGAAGGCTGCCAATCAGAAAAAGACATCATCGCGCCTGCGTAACTAGATAAATCTCGCGACGTTTTCAGTGGTGCAGCTGCTGATATACGATATGGAAGAGTGAAATTGAAACAACTACCTGGATCTCTGTTCATATTATTGTTCGAGAATAAATTTTTACTGATATTCAAGTATTTTACTCTTCAGATGGGTCAGAAAATGAATAATCAATATTATCTGAATGTCCTCAATACGTCCATTCTTCATTACAAAAAGGTCCTAGTCTGGACCCAAACTGGACGTCCCCAAAACATCCTGATTAGTAACAATGGACGTCCTCAAAACGTCCTGAATGTCCATAGTGGACGTTTTTAAAACGTCCATAAGACGTACTTGGAGTTTGTGTGTGACTTTGGTATACTATACTTTAACTAGCTACTAGTTGAAAATACCGATTAAGATCAGTGATTTTTATCTGAAGTATTGAGTAAGTGTCTAGCTACAAATACATAGTAACATCATTGCAATATCTTATCTGAGAACTTAGATATTTGATAAATTCTCTGCCAGGCAAGCCCTGATTCTAATTAAACGGGGACAAATAAAAACGCTACCTCCCTTTTTTATCTCGGAGATAAGCCTGATCAGTTTTCTGTACTGATAATTATGAATAGCCAAGAACTTTTGGATGGCAGTGGCGTATCATTCATGGCCCAGCAATTTCAGTTATTGAACTCACAACTAGCCACACTATCAGCCGGCATGAATGATATAAGAGCCTTACTGGCAGAACAAAACGAAAAAATCGATGGATGTATGGCGCATATTGTCAACCTGAGAGAAGAAAATGAGTCGTTGAAAGTTAGAGTCACAGACCTAGAAAAAAAAATGGATGCTACTTCAGCCCCAACAATATATTCAGAGGTAACTTCGAGACTGGAACGAGAAAAGAATGTGATAATAAACGGCATCGATGAATCTGTAGATGACACTAAGGCGGTGTCAAATATTTTACTTGAGCTCAATTTACCCAAACCACTCCACCCTACCAGGATGTACAGACTTGGTAAACAAGATTTGTCCAAAATACGCCCCCTGAAAGTAGAATTCTCGTCTCGACAGGAAGCCCTTTCAATTTTAACCAGAAGACCAAAATTGCCTCTGAAAGAGTTCCCGAATGTGAAGATCAAAAATGACTACACACCGAGACTACGTGAAGAACTAACGTCTATGTATAAAGAAATTGAACAAAGAAGGGCCCATGGAGAAAATCTTCGTGTGAAATTCGTTTCCAAGCAACCAACAATAGTCTCCGCCACTCCAAAAAGACCGCGTGATGAATAAGAATCTCCGAATAACAATGCTGCTAAAATTAACAAAGGAAAAGCTAATTGTTCAAAAAACTGTCACTAAAATTCTGGAATTATCATGGATATAAAAATGTGTTTAATTTGGATGGGTCTGCCTTTGATATTTTGTTCCTGACTGAAACCTGGCTTACCTATGATATTTCGATTGTTCCTAATAACTCATCGGACTTCGATTATATAACATCCAATGCTACAAAAGGAAAATCATTAGGTAGGCCTAGTGGTGGTATGTGCATTTTTTATAGAGAACGTTTTGTAGTGACTGTACTATATAAATCGTCATACATGCTTATTTGCTTGTTCAGTATGAGTGATCATAAATTTATTGTTTGTAATGTGTATTTCAAACCATCTTTAGAGATAGGACCTACTCTCGATTGCTTCCAAATTCTTTTAGCCGACCTCCTAGAACAATATACTGATACGCTAATAGTTATTGCGGGTGACTAACAGCAGAATTGCTTCTCATGGTACTGTCCCTCATGGAATTATTGAAGGCTCAAATATTTTTGAAGATCGTATAAGTTCAGACATAACGATAAATACTAGAGGTAGGCAGATCATTGATTTCATGGATAATAATTCTTTTTGTGTATTGAATGGTAGAACATCGTAAGATACTCCAGGTCAATTTACATATATCAGCAAAATGGGAAAGAGTGTGGTTGATTTGGCATGGGTAAACAATATGTTCATTTCGGACGTGAACAATTTTTATGTTGATGAAGATGACTTTTCATCTGACCATTTCCCAATGAATATAACCTTGAACTTTAGTAGCCTGCTTGAACATAAGGACTCTGATCTTTCAAATAATGTTAATCCGTGCATGATGTTGAGCTGGAAAAATAAGTTTCATTTGAATTATAAATTGGTAATGAATCGGTCAAACCGAGCTTATTTTATTGCTAATCCTGATGAGTCCTTCTTTGATCTTATTACAGCCATACGCGAGGTTCCTGCTGATTTAGGCCTTGTTTATAATAAAAAACAACATAAAAACAGGAGACTGAATGAAAATAAGTCTTGGTTCGATATAGATTGTATCACTGCTAAAAAACGATGCAAATAGCTTTGAAACAATGTAAAAAACATAATTTTCCAGAAAACCTAAAAACCAACTATATAAGCTTGAAATGCGGGTATAAGAAAATAATAAAAATAAAGAAAACAGAATATGAGTCTGGAATTATTACGAAGCTTACAAACGTGAGAAATCAAACCGAATTCTGGTTGGCTAATCAAGCAGTTCCGAAATAGTTCACTTCCTAAATCTTTGCCTGTCGAAGTATGGGAAAACTTTTACGAAAATATCTATCCTCCTAGAATAGTATCCCCACTTTATCTTCAAGACGCTTGCCACCCTTATTTGGACACACCTTTCTCTACTGATGAAATTTATACAGTACTCTACAAATGTAAAAATAATAAATCGCCAGGATCAGATGGCATACCTTTCGAGTTTTATCGAAATTTACCAAGTAATTGGGTACTTTACTTAACAACCTTATTTAACAAAGTTTTTGATTCATCTGCCATGCCTAGAAGCTGGTATAATATTATAATAACTATGTTGCACAAAGGTGGTCCATTAAACATTCCTAAAAATTAAAGAGGCTTAGCCTTAGTAGATTGTTGCCTCAAAATATTCACAAACCTTATACTTAACAGACTTACGATGTGGGTCGATGATTGCAAGGCATTGCCAGAGTGTCAATCCGGTTTTCGCCCAGGTAGAGGATGTATAGACAATGTTTATACGCTGAGCTCCGTAATAAATTTTTATATTAGACATAGAAAACGGAAGCTATTCGGTATTTTCGTTGATTTCAGAAGAGCTTTTGATTCTGTTAACCATAACTTACTCCGGGATAAATTAATCAAGATAGGGATATCAGCTAAAATCCTTCGGATAATACAAATACTTTATTCTAATGCAACTATTCAAATAAAAGGTTCTGATGGCATCTCTAGATTATTTGATTCAACAACTGGAGTTCTTCAAGGTGAACCACTGAGCCCTCTTCTATTTGCACTATTTATAGATGACATCGAAACGTTCTTCTATGATAGCCAGGCTCAGGGTGTGAACATTGATGCTAGAAATGACGTGTTGGCGCTATTATATGCAGATGATCTTGTGATTCTTGCCCACTCAGAAATTGATATCGTGAAAAAATTGAAGATTTTAGGAAAATGTGTTACATGTAATGAGCTGACCGTTAATTTACAAAAAACTAAAATTATGCAATTTGCTCGAGGTGGATATCGTAAACCTAATTTTGCTTTTCATTTTAACGGACAACCACTAGAGGTAACAAACAAATATGTTTATCTGGGAGTAACATTCACCTCTTCAGGATTATTCCGTGAAATGTCATCAATAGCTAGCATTAAGGGAAAACAGGCTATTGGCTCAGTAATCCCCATTTTGTCTGAAGCTAAAATTGACACCTGGTACCCACGAGTAAAATTGTTTGAATCATTGGCAATGAGTGTTATGTTCAACTCCTTTACGGCATGGGGCATTAGGTATTTGGAAGTATTAGAAAGAGTACATCTTAGTTTCTTGAAAAGAATTCTTTTAGTGCCTATCAATACACCTGACTCAATAGTACGTTTGGAAAGTGGGCGTGTTAAACTTGCATTTAATATTTTTAAAATTACCTTAAACTGGCTGTACAAGATTCTTACCATGGAAAGTCGTCGTTACCCAAGACTTTGTTTTGAACAACAAATGAGATCAATAAATACGACTGATGCAAAATATAATTGGGCACTTCAAGTAAAGCAATTTTTTATTGATAGCGGATCTCTGGAAATTTGGAACAGTATGACTGGTCACACTTTGATTTCAAATAGGAGAAATATAGTAAATCATTATTACAGTTATCTGTTCAACAAAGATGTGTCTATGGCATCTCGTTACCCTTTCATGTATATATACAATTCTCTGAGTACCTCAAAGGAACCAAGCTCATATCTGCTGTTGAAGTTACCTATACAAATTACCCGCACTCCTGCACAGTTACGCATGGCCAATCATTTCAAAATTAAGTTTACTTTGAATGGAATTGTGTATTCGATCGATCCAGATGTAATATGCACTGTTTGCAATAGTAATATATGTCTAGTTAGAAAAAGGTCTATGCCTACACACGTGTAGTGCTATCGGAAGTTTTGTGCGTTTTAAAGAGGTTAAACAATGGTAATAATCTCGAAAGTGATACCAAACTGTTCAGAAAACCAAACTCTTTTGCGTAACGAAAATCACTTGTGAATATTCCCACAGACAAATACGTAAATTGTGAAAATTGTGGTAACCAAAGACAAAAGTGTATAAAAATTCACCGAAAAAGAGCAGCAGCAAAAACGGATACAACAGATAAATCGTTATTGAAACCCCAGTGGCGTCCAGAAGAATATCCTGAAATATGTCGGAGAAGAAACCAAAAGTTACTATCGACGATATATACGAGTTGCTGAAAGAGGTCAATAACAATCTAACCACTAAAATTGAGAAAATTGATCAGGATCTGAAAACCATATCAGCGAAAGTAAGTCAGGAGATTGAAGAGACGAAAGACAAAGTTACTACACTAGAAACCGAAAATTCAGAACTGAAAAGACGCATTGAAGAAACTGAAAGAAAACTTAAATCGAATAATCTAATAGTTTATGGAATAAAAGAAGACAATTTAGAAACAACAGCGAGTTTAGTAGATGAAATCGAAAAGATAATAAAGGAAAAACTGGAATTGAATTTAAATAGCTCAGAAATAACAAACACCTATAGAATTGGAAAAGACAAAGGAAAGAAACGGCCAATTCTGGTCACTATTAACTCACAAATGAGAAAGAGAGAAATACTTAAAAATTGTTACAAACTAAAGGGAACAAATATTTACATTAGCGAAGACCTGATTGGAAAAGATTTGGAAGAAAGAAAAATTTTAGTAAATTATATGAAAGAGGCTAGAAAAAACAACAAACAAGCCAGTATTCGGGGAAACAAATTACTAGTGGATGGTAACCTCTACTCGATACAAGAACTGGAGGATAACAACATAAAAAAGACAGACTACTTCTCGCCACCCCCAGAACGAAGAGCAACTAGTGAACCCTCAACACCAAACGTTTTTGTGGATGAACTTGAAGAAAAAACAAGAGAAAACATACACGAAGTCAAGGAGGAGAAGAAATTAGATATTCCTGACAAGAAAAAAACAGCGAGAAAACAAGTGGAACACCGTCCCAGCCCTACATCCAGAGATACACCAAGAAAAAGAAGTGCCACCCGTTCAACTACAAGTAAAAGAAATTAAGGAGTTACATACATTCACATATTACAACATTATATATTCATTCATAGAACCGCTACTGTACGGTTATACTACATATTATCTTTAAGAAAAAATGGATAATTACCTAAGAGACTTTAAGATAGACCAAACTGATACAAAAATATACGATAATCTCCCAGAATGTAACACGATGATAAAAAAATATAGTAATAGCACTAATATATCTATCTTCCACATGAATATAAGAAGTGTCAATAAAAATTTTAACGAGCTAAAAATCCTGCCTAACCAAATAGAAGACAGTTTTGATTTAGTGGTACTCACAGAAACTTGGAGGATAGCGGACACATCATTACTTCGTATTCATGGATACAAGCTATTTTACAATGAAGGTACATTCAACCAAAATGATGGGGTAATTATCTTCACAAAGGAAAAATTCAATTGTACATCCAAAATTATAAACTTTGATCAGATTAACATCATAGAACTACGTTTGCAAATGCACGGAAAAACCATTTTATTGAACGGTATATATAGACCGGGTCCTACGTGTGAATATACCTTCATAGAAAATCTAGCGAACTATATAAAAACGTGTGTTCATGTGGATTTCCACATAATTACAGGAGATATCAATATGGATATACTAAATACCGAGGAAAACTCTGTTCACGAATATCTCAATACCATGAGCGCAGAAGGTTTCACTAGCCTAATAAATAAAAACACTAGAATAATAGGTCGCGAAAGCTCATGTATCGATCACATCTTTATTAAATCAAAAATAAAAAACTGTACGCATATACCAACGGTTTTGGAAACGAATATAACCGATCACTATTCTATAACAAATAATATCATCCTACCTGAGAAAGTAGTCGACAAAGTAAAAACAAAAACAACTAGAACTATAATAAACAAAGAAAAACTGAAAGATAAACTCAAGAAACATAACTGGACAGACATATACTCTGAAAACGATATCAATAAGAGCACCACTACATTCATAAACACAATAACGGAATTAACTAATAGTTCTTCAACCATCATTGTATTGAAGAGGAAAGAAATTAAAAGAAAGGAATGGATAACTGCGGGACTCCTCAAATCGATTGATAGAAAAAATAAACTATATAAATTAATGAAAAACGAAAATACAGATCATAATAAATTACAATTCAAAAAATGTAGAAACCAATTAAACAACTTAATCAAAATAGCAAAAAATGAATATTATAAAAATAAAATTGAAAAAAATAAGAATGTCAGTAAAAATCTGTGGAACTGCATTAAAGAAATGTCAAATAGCGAGGAACCTAAATCTCCGATTGACAAAATCAAAACTACCGATGGCGAAATAATAAGCGATCCTAAAATGATATCAAATAAATTTTGTAAATACTTTTCTGAAATAGGAGACAAAATGGCAATGAAAATAAATAATCAACCGAACGATATAAAAAAGAAAAAAATAGAACATTCAATATTCCTCGCAAATACCGACGAAAAAGAAATTATAGAAATGATCATGACCCTAAAAAATAACAAAGCACCTGGTTTAGATGGTGTAAGAGCTGAAACTCTTAAGGTAGTTAGTCGTGAAATAGCACCCATATTAACATTCCTTATAAATAAATCCATCAATGACGGAAAGTTCCCAGATATACTAAAAAATGCAGTCATAACACCTATTTTTTAAAAAAAAGGAGATCAGCTAGACATGTCGAACTATCGCCCAATATCGCTCATTTCCAGCATATGTAAAATATTCGAGAAAATTATCCAGAAACGAATCAACTCTTTCTTCAATAAATATAAAGTCATCTCAGAAAAACAGTACGGATTCCGACAAAACCGCTCTACATCGGATGCGATTGCGAGATTGACAAGGATGATAAACAATGCCATAGACAAAAAACAAACTTCTATTTGTATTTTTGTCGATCTCGCAAAAGCATTCGACACGGTAAACCATGAACAGCTTCTTCTGGCCCTCGAGAATGTTGGTTTTCGGGGAATCTCCTACAACCTAATGAAAAGTTATTTATCTAATAGAACGCAATGTGTCAATATAAATGGAACTCAAAGCGACTCAAGAAATATTGGAATTGGCGTACCACAGGGAACCGTACTAGGCCCACTTCTCTTTAACGTGTTCCTCAACGACCTTTTTGAACAAGAAACTAAAGGAGAAATCATCAGCTTTGCTGATGATACGGCAATTTTTTATGAGGACTCAAACTGGATTTCGCTTAAAAATACCATAGAAATGGATTTCACTAAAATTTTTTCAGCTGTAAACTCCTAACAATAAACTATAAAAAAACATTCTTCATCCCCTTCACATCATACAGTAATAATCTACCTACATATCAGGATATTAAAATCAATGATACAACTAATATACAAACGAGCATAAATTCCGTACGGAAAATTAAATATCTAGGAATAATCATAGACTGCCACATGAAATGGGACGAACAGGCACTTTTCGTAATAAAAAAACTCCGGTTTATGGTGTACAAATTCAAAAATCTAGCAAACTTTATCGACTTGAAATATCTTAAAATACTATACCATGCTTTGGTGGAATCTCACCTAACATACGGACTCATTGCTTGGGGTTCCACGACGGCAACCAACTTCAACAAAGTGGAAAAAATCCAAAAAAGCGTATTGAAAAATATCTATAAAAAACCAAGAAGATATTCTTCTGTAGCTTTATTTTCTGAATTAGAGGTATTGAATATGAGTCAGTTATTCGCCAAAACAATTCTGTTGAAACAATACAAACACAAGGAAGAATTAATTTCAATCAACCATCCTTATAATACTAGATACAGAATGAATGCAGTTACTATACCACGAGCAGAAAAGACAATTGGTCAAAAATGCTTTACCTATCTTGGCCCTAAACTATTTAATATACTACCACCAGATATAAAAAAAATACATTCATATAACCTATTCAAAAAGCTGATAACAAGTTGGTTACTGACTCTCCCCTACCATTTCATATTCAATATTCTATACACAAACAGGTCATAACATACATTAATTAACTTATATTAGTAAGAAAATAAGTCCCCATTTGTAACAATGTTTAATCAAATACTCTTATTCTAATTTTACAATTTTACTGTCAAATACTGTCTACAATTTAACTATTTTATCTTATAACTATATTATACATTTTTACTAACACAAATTACTGTTAACATGTATATGTGTATGCGTATGTCCTTGTGCGTTATCATGTACATAAAATTTACAACATTTACTTGAATGAATTACGTCAATGAAAACTTGCATCAAGCTCCAACTCACGCACAAACATATAGATGGAAAAATCGGCCCACGCACAAGTTTTACTTTTGTGGGCTTTCCTCCCATTTATTCTCCATGTGCTATATATCTCATGTAATGTAAGTTCAATCAAATTTGTAATTTCATGGTAAATAAATTATTATTATTATTATTATTATTATTATTAATAAAGCCGAAACTTTATTTCATATTATTTTTGAATGCCCGATTTACACTGTTATGAAACGAAATATACAGTGCCTCCAGAATTTGGAAGAACTTATCCATGCTTAAGAGAATATTTCTATTTCTATAGCCAAAGGAATCTCTGAATATATCTGGAACATCCTTAGGTTACGTTCATTTATATTGAACGAATGATGTAGTTTATTATACATTTAAGTTTTTACAATTCACTGGTAGCAGATTTTTATTTTACTTATCAATCTTTATATACAGGGTGTTATTTAAGTACGTGGTCAAACTTGAAGGGGTGATTCTTTGAGTGATTCTAAGACGAAAAAATCATATAAACATAGGTCCGGTAATGCTTCGTTTTCAAGATACAGGGTGTCAAAATTTTTAAAAGAAATCGTTTTTTTCGTAAATATCTTAATAACCCTTCAACCGATTTCATTGAAATTTGGCAGTGTTATTCAAGGTCGTAAAGGGCTAATTCAACCCTAACTATATCAAAATTATCATGTCCAGTGGCGTCCCGGACGCATTGAGCAACTAAAATTACAACTTTTTCATAACTAGAATTTTTTTCGTATCTTGCTTCGTTTTTTGAGAAAAAACATAAAAATCACTTCATTGCACATCCCTGTGACAACACAATTAAACATTTCAACTACTAAACCATCAAAAACTGGGATCTTACTAATATTTTTTCATATCAATACTCTATTCTAGTCTTGGAATTTCCCATCAAAATTAATGCAATGAGAAAACAAAAAATATGTATGTATGAATTGCAGCACTTGCCTTCGGCTCTTGGCTTCGGCTCGTCACAGGGATGTGCAATGAAGTGATTTTTATGTTTTTTCTCAAAAACAAAGCAAGATACGAAAAAAATTCTAGGGATCAAAAAGTTGTAATTTTAGTTGCTCGATGTGAAACAAATACAAAAATTGCAAAAAAATCAGTGGCGCACATTTTTTCTGTCAAAAATATTGGTTACAGTGCCTTCTGGGACGCCACTGGACATGATAATTTTGATATAGTTAGGGTTGAATTAGCCCTTCACGACCGTGAATAACACTGCCAAATTTCAATTAAATCGATTGAAGGGATATTAAGATATTTACAAAAAAAAACGATTTCTTTTAAAAATTGTGACACCCTGTATCTTGAAAACGAAGCATTACCGAACCTATGTTTACATGAACTTTTCGTCTTAGAATCACTCAAAGAATCACCCCTTCAAGTTTGGCCACGTACTTAAATAACACCCTGTATATACATATGTCTGTATTCTCACACACATACTTCTTGCTGTAAACCCGTTTTTGGAAGCAATAAAATTATTATTATTATTATTATTATTATTATTATTATTATTATTACTTGTGCTGATTGGGAATACTTTGACGTGATTTTGAATAAGTAATCGTTTATTATTGAACCGTTCACATGAAATGGTCCAGGCGAGCATATAATTACCTCCTGTGGATTCCCATGATTCAATTACTTGAGCCGCCGTGTCCTTC